AAAAAAAAAAAAAAAAAAATCGCAATTCAGTAAAACACCAGCCAGATGTACATAATAAACATATCTAGGCTGAACATGGTAAACAGCTGTAACTTCTTGCCTAATGTTAACCCAAGGATAAATTAGCTTTTCCCAAAGGAAAAAGTCAGCTTATGAGAGCTTTAATCCTGTTTTCTGTGAATAAATCCTTGCAATGCTTCTGTAGGGGCCTGGAGTGAAAACATGCAATTAAACATATGTGAACACCTGTGTGGGAGACTCCACCTGGCTGAGCAAAGCAAAACACCCCTCTGGGTTTGGCCAGCCCATCCCGGTACAGAAAGGAAGATACTCAGGGAGGGAGGTGAGGACAGCTGGAGAGAGAGCCCCTCTACTCTTCAAATGGGGTCAGACTTGCAGCTTCCTAGCAGGAGGGCTTCAAGAGAAAACACAAGGGACCTGCCAGCCTAGCAGAACTTGCCTGACTTGAGCCTTTTGGGGCAGCCAGCAGGCATACCAAGGTGGGCACAGAGGGCTTCTAGGAGGCTAAAGAAGATTGAGGAGGGCAGAGCAAGGCCCAGGGAGATGCTCTGCTTCCACCATGGGCAGGGGCTCCTCTCTGAGGAGGAAACAGAACAGGGCTCTTCCCTGAAGTGTTAGGGCCAAAACCAGAGTCTTATCTGATATGAGCAGGTGCCTGGTGTATGAGAACCAGGCAAGAGAGCTGACTTCTGGTCCTAGATATAAACATTGTGTAATCCAGGCAAGTGACTGAACTCTAGGGTCCTCAGAGTTCTGTCTGTAATAAAACGAGGTCTTCCAATGTCGGCACACCGTGACAGAGAACTAACCATATGCTCTTTTTCATGTGGCTATAGAATCTAGCTTCTTCCCTACTGAATGAAAAACAAAAAGCCTTACCTACATTGTGTTTGGGCATATAACCATTGGATCCTTACTCCTCTACATGGCCAGCCAGCAGTATGATCTGTAGGCGGTAATCAGTGTTGATCCAAATGTGTCTCATAGGGCTGGGTGGGTGAGGTAGAGATGAAGGCCATTAGGGTCTGCACATTGGGGTGGTCTACATCTGTCTGAGAGAGAAAATGTGTAGCCATTCTGTGTTGTATCCCAGAGACGTGGCTGTGGTTTGGGAGCTCCTAACTAAGGTGCAAGAACCCCTTGAACTCACAAACATGTGTGCACACATGCACACACATGCATGCATGTAAACACACAGACATCAATTGTCCCAAACCTATCATACCCACTCGAGTTGCTTTGGGCAACTGGAGTAAGCCAGTGCTGGTGTTGACTGGCCTTGTGTAACCATAATTTCTTAGCAGTCTTTAAAACTTAATTATTTCTTTGTTCCCCAGTGCCTGGCAGCATGCAGCAGTGTGGTCACTCAGTAAATGTGGTGGAGGGGCCACTGGAAAAGATCTGACATGGGCATGGGCTGCTGGGCTTTTGACCCTCTTGGGTGGGGGCTACAGTCCTTGTCTTCAGTGTCCAACAGTGATTCACACCAGGCCAACTCTCTGATGAGCAAGACGGAGCACTGACCAGGAGTCTTGGCAACACTGGGCTGGGCTGAGTATTTGAAAATGCAATGTTTTTAACTTGGTGATGGCTGAAGTAGAGGTAGCCTTAGGTGGTGAAAGGAAAAATCCCTGAGAGGCAGGGGCCCTCCATTGGCCAAGCCAGCCAGCAGTGAATGCTATAATTTCTCTGAGCCACAGTTTCTCACATGAAATATGCACAAAGCAGGGTGTGGGTTTTGAGTTCTTCTCAGCTGTAAACTGCCTTTTCGAAAGCACTGAAGAGGCATGCTGAGGCAGTGGGAGGGTGAAAGACAGCATTCTTCTATGCTTAGTGCTTTCTCTATCCCTTGTTAAAAATTAGCATTAATGCTGCCCCTGTCCTGGGAGTCATAAATCACGCAGTGGAGGGGCAGGCTAGGGGTGGAGAGTGTGCTGGTGGCCAGTGTCTTCCTCAGCTGCAGAGCCTTCTCACTTCTTGGCGATTAGCAACTCAGCACCCACAAAGTATCCCGGGCATTTGTTGGGGGACACATTTAGAGTCCACCAACAGTGGTAGTTAGCATCAACCCTGAGGCCTTTGTTAACAGCTGATTACATGAACCCCTCAGGTTCCTGAGCAGAAAATTTGCAGAATTTGTGAATTAAAGTCAGAGATGGAAGTAGCTGGGGTCCTGAGAGCATTTCACATTACACATTTCACCTGCCTCAGGGGTCAGCCATGAAGACATGCAGGCAGGCTGTGGCCTGAGTCCTGCTTCTACTGACCATAACAGCTTTTGGCTTCAAAGTGAATGAAAATATTTTTTACCTGGGCAGAAACAGCCTTCAGACACCCCTCAATCAGTGAACTGCTTTGCATTTTAAAGCTGTCTTTAACTTACTGTTCAGTGACAAGCCAGGTATTTATTTTCTCCAGATGATTGTAAAATGGTATTTGAACATGACAGGTGATCACTCATTGGAATTCTTGCCCAACCTGTCAGCTCTATGTCATTGAACAAAGATGCATACTATTTTCATTTTTTCTTTAAATTCTTGGCATCACTTTCATTAAAAACAGCATACCTAGCACTCCTTAGGTGCCGAAGGCTGATATCAAAGGAAAAAAAACAAAAAACAAATGTATGTTTCTGCTGTGCTATTCAGAAACCAGACATGGAAGACTGACCAGTGGCTAGGCAAATTCCTATAAATTTGGGTTTTGAAGCTCTTTTCTGACACCCCTGTCTTTCACCACCCCTTACCCAAAGCATGTGACAGAAAAGCTTCAGATTCCTTAAGCACAAATATCAGAGTGCTAAGGTACTGTCCTTGAAGCTCTGCTTTGTGGAAGTGTGTGCTGGGAGTGTGGATCAGACAGCATGCTGAGTGCTGCTTCTGGCAGCTTTGAGGTAAGATGGGGAGTCTCCACAGACAGCACCCCTGTCCTCATGAAGCTTGGAGCTTAGAGGCAAAAGATGACCCTTCATCAGAGAACCACAGAAATGATGGTACAATTTTAAGCTAAAATAAGAACACACAGGAATGGACTCTGGTTTCTATGAGATGATATACTAAGAGAACCTGACATCGTCATAGGGTAGGTTTCCCCCAGAAGGTTGCTGGAGATGACATCCTCATAAAGATGAGTGGGAATCAGCCAGGAGAAGAAGGGGTGGAGTGGAAAGTGCAAAGGGCTCAAGGCACAGCATGTGCAAAGGACCTGTGATGGTAAGCACTGAAGATGACAAAGATGATTGGAACAGAGGACGGATGATGCCCAGTCAGCAACAGGCACTAGGAGACAGACCAGCAGTGCCTCATAAGTCCCCTTGAGAATTTAGGACCATGCCACATCACAACAGTGGCAGACTTTAATGAGAGGGTCAGGTCAACCTGGCAAAGAAACCCATCAAGGAGTCTTGAGTCCTTGTAAAGTTTGGGCACTTGTGCCCTCCATTTTTCAGTGCGAGGCTGGCAGGTGGAACGCGTTCTTTCCATTTCAACAGTCATCAACTTTTTTCAACAGAAAGGCAGAGTTCCCAATCATATGAATGGATTGGCCTAACCAGGAGGGGCACCTTTGAAAGTGGGGGAGAACTAATGTTAAAAAAATCCAAGATCATTAACTGAATCACTCAGAATGGAAGTACTGACTTGGTTAAAATAAAACCTTTGGCTTTCTATTAGCGAAAGACACTGTGGGTACCCACTGATGCCACATAGAAGTGTGGTGCCTGGGTCTAGATGGGCTGCCTGAGGTCAAGGCTGGCACAGTGCAGATGTGCAGTGGCCTGGAAAGAATAGACTTGGGGACACACAGACCAGGGAGAGAGAATCCACATACCAGCCTAGTGGGACCGCAGGAAAAGCTCTGTGGCCCCTGGAGAAAGGCTAGAATGACAGTATCTACCCCCTGATTATTCAGGGGACTGGCCCAGAAGAAGGCTAAACATTCAGAGAGTGACCAAATGACAGAGAAG